GCCTAATGCTCTGCACACTCTGCCACTAATTGCCTCTAATTCCTCCTGAAGGTTCCATTTTGAGGAAGGGCCCAGACTAGCCATCCTTTGTTCTCTGAACTTCACCACCATACCCTGGTGGGGATGTACCTTGAGCCCTCCCCACCTCTTTTATGTGCTGTCTTCCCTTGTCTGAATGTAAACTGCTTGGGCAGCCCCTCACTACACCCCCAGCACTTGGCACACAGGAAGTACTTCATAAGTGCTTGTTAACATAGGCTTTTCACACCTTTTGGACCCTTGCAATGACCCTGAGAGGCAGGGGGCCTTGTCATCCCCATTTTACAGATGAGGAAACTGATGCTCAAAAAAGTTACCTGGCTTGATTAGGGTGAAGCTTTGAAGGAAACTTCTGGATTCCACGTCAGTATTCAGGATTGGGCTCCTGCTCTAGGTGGCAGTTTTGAGACATTTTGTTAGAATGTGGAACCATCACGTGTTTGTTTCCCACCATTGCTGCTATGGCCCTTTGAGTGTTTGCAGCTCTCTGCTTTGTGGAATCATCTTTCACTGGCATCTTTTGTGCTGGTCTCTTCTGTTCTGAATTTAGGATATTAGAAGGCCAGCTTGTATTACAAAATGAACTGTAGCTTATAGCAAAATCAGGACTGCTTTGCCCCTAGGCTGAACGCTGACTTGCTAACTGTCTCCCGGACATTTCAGACTCCTGGTCTTTCCTCTGTTTACTTCTTGTCACTCAAGTTCACAACCTTCCAGATCTTGACTCCTCCGTTCTCAGTAATCTCACATTTAATCAATTGCTAAGTCTTGTTAATTCTACCTCTACAACCCTTCCTACATCTATCCTCTTCTTTCCCTTCCATCCTCATCACTTCTTTTCTACACTGTTGCAATCACCTCCTAATTAGTCTCCTTGACTCCACTCTCTCCCCTTTCCCATTCATCTTCCACATAGCTGCCAAAATGATATCCCCCTGCTCAGTAACCTCCAGGGGCACCCTATTTCCTTTCTTTTCTTTTCTTTTAATTTATTTATTTTGGTGAGGGCAACTGGGGTTAAGTGACTTGTCCAGAGTCACAGTGAGTGTTATGTGTCTGAGGCTGCATTTGAACTCAAGTCCTCCTAACTCTAGGGTCGGTGCTCTGTCCACTGCGCCACCTAGCTGCCCCAGCACCTTATTTCTTGTAGGATTAACTGTTAACTCTTTTGTTGGTCACTGAAACCCTTTCACAGCCTATCTCTAATCTACCTTTCAAGCCTTATACGTTATTGGCTTTCACACATTCTGTAATCCAGCACATCTCTCATCCCTGCCTTTGCACAGGCTGTTTGACCCCCATGCATTCCTTACTCATGTAGCTTCTTAGAATACCTGATTTCCTTGAAAGCTGTTTCAATTCTGGTACCAGCTCCTACTGGAAGACCTTCTTGATCTTTCCTCCACCAGTCCTTTCCTAATTCTTTCTCTTGCACTCACTCTCTCTCTCTCTCTCTCTCACACACACACACACACATACACACACACACACACACACACACACACACACACACACACACACACACACACACACCCCCCTCTACACCTGCTAGTCCTTCCCTTCAACGAACTGTAAGCTCTTTGAGGGGGTGGTTTCATTTTTGTCTTTATACCTCTGATGCCCAGCAAATAGCAAGTGCCTTTCTTTTTTACATTTATAGATATGTAAAAGAAGCAAAAGAAGCGACCAAGAATGGAAATCTAGAAGAAGCCCTTAAACTTTTCTATTTAGCAAAAGATGTTTTTCCCAATGAGAAGGTTCTGAGCCGAATCCAGAGACTGCAGGAAGCCCTGAAAGAGCTGTCGGTGGAAGGAGATGATGAATTCATTGAAGTGTGCAACAGTGGCCTGATGGTGTATCGAGAACTGCACAGTCGACTTTATGAGCACCAGAAAGAAGGTTTGGCCTTTCTCTATAGCCTGTATAAAGACAGAAGGAAAGGTGGCATATTGGCAGATGATATGGGATTGGGGAAGACTATTCAGATTATTGCTTTCCTTTCTGCTATGTTTGATGCTGAACTTGTGAGGTGTGTCCTGCTGATCATGCCTACCAGCCTTATCAGCACATGGACCAAAGAATTTGCTAAGTGGACCCCAGGAATGAGAGTTGCCACCTTTCATGGTTCTAGTAAGAATGAACGTACCAGAAATCTAAGCAGGATTCAGAGGAAAAATGGGGTAGCTGTGACGACGTACCAAATGTTGATCAACAACTGGCAGCAGCTTTCCCAATTAGATGGAAAAGAGTTTGTCTGGGACTATCTTATACTTGATGAAGCCCATAAAATTAAAAGCTCTTCTACTAAGTCATCAATGGCTGCCCGGGCTATCCCTGTGAAGAATCGCATCCTCCTGACAGGAACCCCAATTCAGAATAACTTGCATGAGCTGTGGTCCCTCTTTGATTTTGCTTGTCAGGGATCCTTGCTAGGAACGTCTAAAACCTTTAAAATGGAATATCAAAATCCCATTACGAGGGCCAGGGAGAAAGATGCTACTTTAGAAGAGAAGGCCCTGGGGTTGAAAATATCTGAAAACTTAATGACACTTATAAAACCCTATTTTCTCAGGAGGACTAAAAAAGATGTACAGAAGAAAAGTGCCAATAAACCCCAAAGCAATCTTCCTGAAAAGAATCCAGGTGGTGACATTGTCTGTGAAGTCCCTTGCCTTTGCAGGAAAAATGAGTTAATTATTTGGGTGTATTTAGTACCTTTGCAAGAAGAAATATATAGGAAATTTGTATCCCTAAACCACATCAAACAGTTGTTGGTGGAAACACGTTCACCTTTGGCTGAGCTGACTGTCTTAAAGAAGCTGTGTGATCACCCGAGGTTACTGTCAGTGCGGGCCTGCAGGTTGTTAGGTCTCAAAGAAGGCAACTTCTCTGGTGAAGATGAAAGTGAAGCCGCTCATTCAGACATCCGGATGGATCAAGTACCTCCTGAATCCCTAATGCAAGAATCGGGGAAAGTGATATTCCTCATGGCTTTGCTTAAGAGATTACAAGATGAAGGACATCAGACTCTGGTATTTTCCCAATCCAGAAAACTTCTAGACATCATAGAGCACCTTTTAAAGAAAGAGAAGTTCAAGACTTTGCGTATTGATGGAACTGTTACTCATCTTTCAGAAAGACAGAGGCGAATTGACTTATTTCAGCACAGTCAGGGTGTCTCTGTTTTTCTCCTTACTTCACAAGTAGGTGGAGTAGGTCTCACTTTAACTGCAGCAACTAGAGTGGTCATTTTTGATCCTAGCTGGAATCCTGCAACTGATGCACAAGCTGTAGATCGAGTTTACAGAATCGGGCAAAAAGAAAATGTTGTCGTTTATAGGCTGGTCACCTGTGGGACAGTGGAGGAGAAAATATACAGAAGACAGGTTTTCAAGGACTCGTTAATAAGACAAACAACCGGGGATCAAAAAAACCCCATTCGCTATTTTAGCAAGCAAGAATTACGAGAGCTGTTTACAATAGGGGACTTTCGGAGTTCTGCAACACAGTTGCAACTGCATTCTTTGCATGCTGGTCACAGAAAGACTGATAAGAAATTGGAAGAACATATTGCTTACCTACACACTTTGGGAATAGCAGGAATCTCTGACCATGATTTGATGTTCACACATGATGTGTCTGTTCACGAAGAGTCTGAGGTAGGGGAATCTCAGTATGTTCAAGAAAGGGTTCAAAAGGCTCAACTCCTAGTTGAATTAGAGTCTCAGAATAATGAGCTCTTACTGACCAATGCAAGAACCGGAGTTGAGGAAACCTGGCTGAAAAAACCTGCATCTTCCAAACCAAAGAAAAAATGCTCTGAATTGAATGTTGCACATCCTCCTTCGCCACCTGTAATTGTTGATCTTACACAAGAAGACTCTTTCCATTCTGGAATGGCAAATTTGAGTGTTGTTGAAGAAAGTGAGGCATGTGATCTCTCTGCCATTAGTGTAGATGTGTCTGGAAAACAATCTGATGTTCATGTATCAGAACACAAAATTGATGATGAATTTGTAACTACTTTTTCCAGTGAAGGGTGCCATGAAATGGAAATATCAAAGACCAATAATCCTGATGATAGTCAAGTTTTACCACATAACACTCAGGAAAGTATAAAGCAGTTAGCTCATGAAACAGGAAAAGCTGATCTTGAACCAAATCCAGATGAGATTTTGCTGGAATCTTTCTTCTTGCCTATTAGTCCAGAAAAGTCTATGGACTTGGGTACTTCTCTCATTAGCCTACTAGGGGATTTGTCAGCAGGCCCAAGTGCAATGGAGAATTCTGGACCAAATGAAGCCTTAGCTTCTTCACTGCAGGATGCTGATGATTTCAATCTTTTCTTGGAAGACTCTCTAGAGAGTGGACAGAATCTTTCCAAGCAGTCTTTGGAGCCCATGGAAAGGAGGGAGAATAATAGCATGTGGGATTTAGCAACTAATCCTAGGGGGCAGAGTAGCTTTGACGATCCACAGCTTGAGAATCTCTCTGATCAAGAAAGTGAACTGGAAAACAAAATAGCTCCTGTGAAAACAAGATATACAATGAGGAAGATTGTTTCAGATGATGAAGATGATTCTGTGACAGAAGGAATATTACCCCCTTCCCCAAACCCGTTACTGACACAATTTAGCTCAACTCCCAAAAGCAATAGATCCCAATCTGAATTGTTTTTATCTGAAATAGGTAGTGGTGGAAATAGTTCTGCAATTTCTAGAAGATCCCTGGCTTCAAGGAGATCACTTATTAATGTGATTTTAGACCATGTTGAAGATATGGAAGAAGATGCTAGTGAGCAAAAGAATACTGACAAGCATTTAGAAGCAGCAGCAGCAGCAGAGTATAGTCAAAAGTCTGAACTCTCAGAAGAGGAACCTGCAGAAGAAACCTCATTGACCCAAAGTGAGCCTTGTTCTTTGGCTGTGTCTTGCTCAGACTTAGCCCAGAGTGCATCTGGTCAAGATTCACAGGAGACGACTGCACACAACCCGAGTTCAGCTCCCGTGACAGATGAGTATGAGGCTCTGGTCAGGCGTGGAAAGGAACTGAAAGAGAGAGGGAAAATACAGGAAGCACTCAACTGTTTACTTAAAGCCCTTGATATAAAAAGTACCGATCCTGAAGTCATGCTCCTGACTTTAAGTTTATATAAGCAACTTAGTCAAACTTGAGAAGTGGTTTATTTGCTGTACTTTACAATCCCCTGAAGGGTTATCTATGCTTACTTTTCTAATTCAGTTTCTCCTAATTTAAGGTGATTGCTTTGAATAAGGATAGCAGCTTCTAGCATGTTTAGGATGACAAACACGTTTATGTTCCTTTTTTTTTTTTGTGAACATTTATTACTCCCACCAAGACTGGGCTGGGGGATTGAGAGTTTTTGCTGCCTTTTGTTCTGTGTGTTTTGCTGCTGGGATAGTCCATATGGGACATTATTGTTTTTTAAAAGGTTCTTTTAAGTTTACAAGCCAATTGACTCTGTTCTGAAAAACCTCCTTGGGGGTTTGCAATCTAGTTGGGAAAATTAAAGTGAATTTAATTCAAATTAAATGTTATGTTCTCTTTGAAATTGATGATATTGGTAAGTGCACATGAAAGCTGCTTCTCAGTGGCATCCTGAACTTGAAAAGGCTATAATTCTAAATGGGGCTGGGCACTGCTACTGCTTCACTAATTTTTGATCAAAGGAACTGACACGTAAAGCACTGTACAGGCTGTTCCAAAAGTCGCGGTGCACTTCTGTTAAACTTAGGTTTATCTCAAATCTCAAGCTTAAAACTGGACTAAGACCTAGTATAAATAGTAGCTCTCATTAGAAATTTTACTTTGGGACCATCAATAAGCCTCTTCATTCCCAGAACACATCTATTTGGAGATGGGGCCATTCCAGGGTTCTTCTCTTCTACCTACTGCAGCCTTTTCTGCTCATCACAAAGCCTTCACATTCCTCCTTCCCCATAACTACCTGCCCCCATACAAAGGAGGTGACTGGGGGGAAGTGAATCCTATAAGATACAATTGTTCTCCTTCACTCAGAAAAATCATTCAGCATGACACCTAGCTCACTCCTCACATCCAGAAGAGCCACTCTTAGGATCAAAGTTGGAAGGAACCTCAGAGTTGCATTTAACAGACTGAGTGAGGTTCAATGACTTGTGAACCTGGGTTCACACAGCTAATTAAGCATCTGAGGATTTGAATCTGGGTTGTCTTGACTCCTGAGTCTGGCACTCTGCTCACTCCACCACCCCACTCCTTGTGCTCCTCTTAGGAAGAGGTATTTTTCCACGTTGTTCTTAAGTTCTTCCCTCTCCTACTGGCTTTACACTCTGGCTAAAAGTAAGCACTTTCATTTGCATATGATAATTGGAATTAATATTCTAAGGCAGTCAATCATTCCTCAGTTTCCTGGAAACATTTTTGCAAAAGGCCTGTGTATATTTCTTGCATAGAACAGAATACTTACAAGAAGATTTTTGAACTTGTTTACAAGTATATGTCCCTGATATTTAGAGTGTCCACCATATACATGTATGTCAGGGTGTTTGTTTGTCCCTGTTCTCTTGGGAGGAAGGAGATATCCTCAGATCATACTCAAAGCTCTCTTGACTTCTACATTCTTTCCCTCAACTCCAACCTTTCCCCCTCAAAATGATCTTCAGTTACCAGCCATTGCTCCCATAGAGAGGTAGCCTTTGAAAAGAGTATAATTGAGGGGCAGCTACATGGCGCAGTGGATAGAGCTCCAGCCTTGGAGTCAGGAGGACCTGAGTTCAAATGTGGCCTCAGACACATAACACTTATTAGCTGTGTGACCCTGGGCAAGTCACTTAACCCTATTGCCTAGCCAAAAAGCCAAAAAAAAAAAAAGAGTGTAATTGCTTATTGAAGTCAGCAGGGGCACAGGTTTGGGGAGTTCCTGAGACTGCTTTACTTTAATGTTTGCTGATTGGATGGTCCCATATGAGTTACTAATACGATTGGGCTGGTGACAGCTGACAGTTACTTTTAAATGAAAATATTTGGTACAGAAACTTGTGTTTCTGTAGCATGAGAGTGGCCCGAGGGATGGTAGCCAGAATGACACTGACTTGGCCTGCATCTCTCGGGTTCTTGGCCTTTGTCCAGCCTGGGGAGATTGCTGGGACCAGCCACTAACCCCTCAGTACATTTTGCTTGCTCTATCATTTGCAGCCTGTGAAAGGCCTTTTCCTTGCCAAATGACCAGTCTTGGGCCCAGAGAACAGCTGAAGAAACACTTTCAGTGAGAATGAGGAATGAGTACAATCTCAATTTTACAAGGGAAGATGTTTGTTGGGGGTGGGATGTCAGGAAACATTTGTCAGATGCTTGGCCCGCCATAGCTTTTTTCTGTTCCCCCAGTCCCCTCCTTGTGGCTTTTGTGCCAGCTTTTTGGCCTCCCAACTTAATCAACACACATAGAATAAGAAGCTGGGTAAGAAGCCCAGCTCTGCAGTTTACATGGTGTGTAACTGCTCTGAGGCTCAGTGGCCTCTAAAATGAGAACTAGATAAGGTGACCTCTAAGGTCCCTTTCAGCTCTAGGGCCTATTGTCTTTCAGTCATGTCTGACCCTTCATGACCCCACTGGGGGTTTTCTTGGCAAAGATACTGCAGTGATTTACCCATTTCCTTCTCCAGCTCGTTTTTTAGATGAGAAAACTGAGGCCAACAGGGTGGAGTGACTTGACCAGGGTCACACAGCTAGGACGAGTTTGAGGCCAGATTGGAACTCAGGAAGATGAGTCTTCAGGCCCAGCCTTCTATGTACTGCAGCACCACCTAGCTGTCCCTATGGGAGTGGCTATTATGTTGCCCAGACCTAGATTCCAGGCATGGATGAAATAATTCACACTTGTGTGGTCTTTCCTTTCCACACAAGCCCTGTGAGGTAAGTAGTGAAATCATTGTTACTCCAAACAATGAAGCAAGTCGTCTATGAGTGTGTAAACAAGGTAGAGTTCAGAACCAGAGCTCTGACTTCCACTCTCCACTCTACCACATGCTGCCTCTAACTGAATAGGAGAGCAGGATACGTGGCCTATGTTGCCCCCTCTGCAGTGTTTGAATTAGGGTATAGGTAAGTAAGAAGCTTGAAGGGAGGGACTGACTAGCATGGTTTGGTATCCCCAGGACCTGGCACACAGTAGGGGCTCAGGAAATGCTTTCTCTCTCTACATATCTTGAACTACATAAATGGCCTCCAAGGTCACTTCCAACTCTGAGATTCTGAAGTCGGCTGTGTGTTACCAAAGATGACTTATATACGAGCAATGGTATTAAATAACCCCCCCCCCCACCTTCCAACTTTGAAAGGCCTTAGAATTCAGCCCGTCTATACAAGGAATCCTCTCTCCCTCCTTGTAGAACTGGTGATGGGGCTCTTTTTTCCCAAGGGGTTCTGCTCTGCTGTGATGGCGAGAACCTACACAGGTCAAGCAACACCCATCAAGACGTCAAGAGCTGTGGAGGCAGCTCCTGCTTGCACGTAGAGAGGGGCAGCACTGGTTCAGTACTCCCTCTCCCCCTCCCTAGCCTTTGGTCAACCCTGGAGAATGTGGTGAAGTAATCTGCTGGGAGGCAGTGAACTCGTCCCTTGGAAGGCCTCAAAAAGACAACAGGCCTTGGGTAGTAGCCAACAGCACCTTTTGACATTTCTGTTCATTGGTCCCTTTAACAAATCCTTACCTCATTGACCTGGGAGGAGGAGGCTGCCTAGTGTGTTCATGACACTGCCAGGCCTAGCTCTGACTTCTTTGCCAGCTTCTTCATCTTTAAGATGCCATACATAGATGCTGTGAAAATAAGGAAGGGTTGGTCAGCACCCTTGGAAAAAAGTTACATTCTACGTATGTAAAGTACACTATTCTTGTTGTGAAAGTGGACAGGTGAGATGGTTAAAAATAAGAAAATACTGCCCTTGAGTTTACGATTTAGAATGGATTTGACAAGCACTAAGATTTACCAATTCTAGAGCACCTACTGTGTGCCAGGCACTGTGCTAACTAAGCACTTTGCAATTATCTCATTTGATCCTCACAACAGTCCTGGGAGGTAGGTGCTATCATCCCCATTTTACAGAGGAAGAAACTGAGGCAGAGGTGAAGTGACTGCCACAATGACTCCCCGCCTTCTCCAACATCCAAATCCCATAACTAGTAAGTGTGTGAGGCCAGATTTGAACTCAGGTCTTCCTGCCACCAGGCCCAGTGCCCTATCCACTATGCCACCTGGCTCCTAATACATGCAAAGACAGGTACTAGGTCCTGAAGGTACAAAGACAAAAAAACAAAAACTAGTCCCTGTCTTCAAGGACTTACATATAAACAGATAGTTAAGTACAATGTTCGTTTGAGGAGTGAGCAGTAATAAACTCGGGGGGATCAGCAAAGACGCCTTATAGGAGCCCGGGCAAAGGGACACACGTGGGGGATGGGAATGGGGATGGGGATTTGAGGCGACTGCCTGGAGGGCGACAGGAGGCTGTGGTCAGAAGAACGGCTGCATGCCAGAGGAAGGGCACTTAACTATGTGCAGGTGATGGGGAGATCTAACGTACGGATGCCCCCTGGTGGGAAGATCCTAAGAGCTGAGGTTTCATGAACTAGGTAGGCCTCGGGACTTAAGGAGCAGGTGTTGGAGTATAGAGGAAGACCTAACCATCGGGGACTTCCTTAAGGAAAAGGTGAACGGCCTAGGGGCCGATGGATAGTTAGTCAGCAGAGGGAGCTTGTGGAAGTGGAATGACCAGCAAGGAGTCAGCCTACTTTTCCTTCTGGCCCAAAACGTTCAGGGACATCGAGTACTGGGAGAGTGGCATGAGATAGAGTGGTCAGGAATTGGGGAGGGGGGAGGTCTAAGTTCAGGAAGATGGTAAAGACAACGTGAAGTTTGTTAATAATAGAATGAGCATTTCAGAAGACACAAAGGAAGTGTGAGGGAGGGGAAAGCAAGCCTGGCTGAGGCGGATGGGGACGAAAGAGTGAGGATCAATAGAAGGGAGAAAGGAGTTTTCCCCTAGGTAGTCTAGGACTAAATCACAGAGAACAGAAGTACCAGTTTACTGGGGCTCCCACACTCTGCAAGGGAGGCGCTATTGTTAACTCCATTTTATAGCTGGGGAAACTGAGGCAGACAAGCAGGGAGTGAAGTGACTTACCCAGGGTCACATAGGTAACTAGTGTCTGAGGCTGCATATGAACACAGGTCTTCCTGACTCCAGGCCCAGCCCTCTGCACAGTGATGACGGATGGCAGCATCGGTATGTTTCTTAGACACCAGGGAAAAAGAGAGATAGGGCCACTAGATGGTGCTGAGGAATTTATGCCTCTCTCAGAAGGTTTGGTGGTTTGGGGGAATGTGATGGAGTAAACAGGGCTTCTGGGCCTAGCAGTAGGTCCAACCTTCCAAATCCTCCCTTAGTGGAAGGTTCTTAGTGGGTAAAGAAGACCTGAGGCTGTAATGTTGCTGCAGTGACTCCAGGAAGCCCAGGCAGAAACTAACATGTTCATCTCTTAACCCTCTGGTCGAAGACTGAGCTGAGATGATACCTTATTGCTACAGAAATTGTGTCCGAGCCTATTTACCTGGGAACACCATCGGAAAACTCGCTAGAGTAGAACTGCCTTTCTCACATCTGTCCCCTCATCTCCACTGACAGTCATCACTTCTTGCCCAGATGACTACAATGACTTCTGAATGTGTCCCTCTCCCTCCAGTTCATCTTTCACACAGCACTAAGGTAATCTGCCTAATGCTCAGATAAGACCATCCCCCCCCCCCCCCCGGCCCAAAACCCTCCCATGGCTCCCTAGTGCTTAGATAATAAACTCCTTAGCCTGTGCAAGGCCTTCCACAAGTTGGCCCCAACTAACTGTTACTTCATAACCGACCTTCATGGACTACAATCGATCTAAACTTGTCCAATCCCCTCTTCTGTTTCCTTGCATCTATGCATTCCTCCCCAAGTCAGGAAGCTCTAATGAAATCTTTCTTCCCAAGGCCCAGCTCAGATGCCACTTCCTATTCAAAGCCTTTCTAGACCACTCCCTCCTCCCATTTTCCTAGAACTTTCGTCTGGATTGTCCCATTCTACCGCCTATGTTATACCTTCCTACCACTCATTATATGGCAAGTTCCAGAACTAGAAAGGCCCCTAGAGATCATCTTGTCCAGTGTCCTCATTTTGCAACTGAGGAAATAAAAGTTAAATGACTTGCCTAAGGTCACACAGGTAGTAAGTAGCAAAGCTGGGCCTGGAACTAAGGTCCACCCACCCCAAATCTGGTGCTTGTCTCACTAAAATCCACTTGAGGGCAGGGAGGCCCACCAGTTAAAGCAGTGTTCATTTGAGAGGCACCCACAGAAGATCCAGCCTGTATCACGTGCAAACAATACATCCATACCCTGGCAGCTGCCAAAGTGATCTTCCCAAAGCACAGATTGGATGGTGTCAATCCTCCCCTCCACCAATTTAACAAATTCCATCAACTCCCCATCACCTCTAGGATTAAATGTAGAATCTTATTGTCATTCAAAGTCCTCTGAAACCCAGCCCCTTCCTGCCTTTCCATGCACTCTTGTGATCCAGTGAATGCCTTGAAAAGGACACTCCATTTCCCAACTGCAGAATGTCCACTGGCCATCCTCCAAACCTGGAACTCTTACTTCTGCCTCCTGGCTTCCTTCCCATCTGTTACAGGCCCACCTTCTGCAAACTTTTCCTGAGCCCCTTTAATGCTAGGGCCCTCTCCCTGTCAATCACCTCCAATTTATCCTGTATAGCTCATTAGTACATGGTTGTTTGCATGTGGACTCCTCCATTAGACTCGGGGCACCTTGAGGGCAGGCACTGGCTTCTTTCTTTTTGTCCACAGCGGGTGTTTAATCAATGCTGATTGACTTAACAGGTAGAAAGTGAGAGTCCTCCACCACTGGTGCCCTTACAATGTTAGCAGAAAGTGAGGAAGGGTATGTATTGGGTGGAATCTTTGTAGCAAACATATGGGAAGCCATGAATGAACAAGAGATGCAGACGATGGAGGGACTATTTTCTGCACCATTAAAGGGACCTTCTGAATCGACAAGATCATAGATCCTGTTTCATGGGCTGCCAAATAATTTCCCCAGTGGCCTACTCTGTACCTAGTTAGGTGGCAGGGTCTGTTGGTGAGCCCTAAAGGGGCTTTACAGAAAAAGCAGGTCTTTTCACTCGGTGTTTAAGGGAAATGCTCCAGCTGGACATATCCAAGGTAGTGGGAGGCATGGATGAGAGCAGGGTACAAGAGCAGCAGCATGACTCCCTCACACTAGAGCTAGGACACCTCCAAACTAACAGCTTCACGGGGAGCAGTGAAAGGGACAAGAAAAACCTACAGGCCTTGGGATTAACGGCCTTCAGGCCGTAGCGGGAAGAAAGTGACCACAATGAGGCGACATGGAGGCAACCCCTACTGTTCCCTTCCGTTCCGTTCCTAATTGCAGCTTGCTCAGATCAGAGGGATCTTTGGGAGCAGCTCCTGGATTGCAGCTGACCAGCTATTTTAGTAAAGGTCACAAGTGGGGTGGTGGAAGCTACTGGACATAAAAGAGCTAGACAGGTAGAGGTTCTAGAGATGGAGCAAGACAAGAGTGGGGGAAACACCAGGAAAGAGAATGGTCGTGGCTGGGGAACGGACAGCATAATGTCCTAGGCACAAGGGCCTACCCCAAAGCTTGCCCAGCCCAGGAGAATCTGCAAGGCAGAGCTCACGTTCCAGTGCCACAGCCTTCAAGAACCTGGGCTCATCTTTATACCACCATGGAAGGCTCGGCGGGAGAGGGAGCTTGTTATTACAGAAATATTATTTCATTAGTCCTCACGACAACCCTGGGAGATAGGTGCTGCTATTATCCCCATTTTACAGTTGAGAAAACTGAGGCACACAATGGTTAAGTGACTTGCCCAGGTTCATACAGCTAGAAAGTGTCTGAGGCTGAATTTGAACTTAGGGCTTCCAGACTCCAAGCCTAGTGCTGCATGTACGGTGATGCTCCCTGGTGGCCTCTGCAACCATCAGGCATTACAGAAGAACATTTGTCCTTGAAGAAGACCTTTCTTAACCATTCTGATTCCAAGCACTGATACAGAGTTCACAAGGTACGTGGGCTGTTCAGCACCTTGAAAAGAAATCATTAGATGTCTGAAGCTCATAAAAATCAACTCATTTATCACAGTTTATTTTCTCCCTTCAACCATGATAATATGGTACCCAAATTTGGTTTTCACTGGAGGATCTGTGTACACAGGCTTGTCCAGGCCACTGACAGGCAAGGCAAATGCTGCTTCTTGGAACGGGCCTACCATGGACCCTCTTGTCATCCATCCCAACTCTCCCTGAAAAACAAAAACAAAAACAAAAGAAATCAATTATATGCGATTAAGTTGAAGAATAGGGTGTCTACTGTACGTTTGTTATCTTCCTCAAAGAAAAATCTGAGACCAGATTTTTGACAAGATCATAGATCCTGTTTCATGGGCTGCCAAATAATTTCCCCAGTGGCCTTCTCTGTACCTAGTTAGGTGGCAGGGTCTGTTGGTGAGCCCTAAAGGGGCTTTACAGAAAAAGCAGGTCTTTTTACTCAGTGTTTAAGGGAAATGCTCCAGCTGGACGTATCCAAGGTAGTGGGAGGCATGGATGAGAGTAGGACTCTAGAAAGAAGATCTGGGTCACAAAAGAAAGTGGCAGTAAGGCCTGTAGCCTTAGTAAAGCCCTCACCTCAGCATCAGAAGAGACAGAAGGGCCTGTCTCCTCTTCAGCTCAGTGGGTCCCCAAGAGTGGCCACAATTCAAACAAAGCTCCAGAGTAGCTATGAAGAAATGGAGAGAGAGAGACCGGCATCTTTAAAGCCAGCTTTCACCTTCCCCTCAGTGGCCACAACCCAAAGAGGATAGCTACTTCTTCAGCTGCTCACTGCCCACTTCCACTTCTTAGTTGTGGCTCTTCTTGGCTGAGACCTTCACCTAGGTACATATTCTGTCACCAGATGATGTGTTCATTGGCATATTGGAGCCAGAGGAATGAGAAAAAAATTGAGGGTTAGGGCTAAGGCACAGTGCTAGCTGGAAAGAGATAGGTACCCCCTGCCGGGCTTTATCTTCACTGTACTGCGAAGCAACTTCATTGAATCTCACTCCAGACTTCAGTTTTTCCATGGCCTCCATGATTCTGCCATACTTTTCACACAGAATATGTCGGACCTACAAGACAAAAAGAGGAAACCCACAGTACTTTCTATTACCCGAAACCCTTTCTCACAGTACAAGAATCAACTGTGTTATCCTTGCTCGTGGAGTGGTAACTGAAAAAGGATCTGTTGGTACCTTTCATAGTGATGAATTCTTAACCCAGGGGTGGGGAACCTACAGCCTCGGGGCCACATGTGGCCCTCTAGGTCCTCAAGTGCGGCACTGTCACTGATTTGTTCTGTGAAGTTTGGCTTCAAAGGGCCACACTTGAGGACCTAGAGGGCCACATGTGGCTTCACGGCTGTAGGTTCCCCACCCCTGTCTTAACCAAACAAGGCACAGAAGTGATCACAGAAAGCAAAACAGAACATTTTGACTACATGAAATTGTAAAGCTTTTTGCACAAACGAAAACACATCAAGAGAAGCAGTCAAATGGGAAGAAAATCTTTGAATTGAGTATCTAGGATAAGGGTTTGTTATCTGAGATAGATACACTTAACAGAAATATAGAAGGCCAAAAGCCATTCCCTAAGGGCAAAGTGATTAAAGGACTAAATATCCAAAAGAAGAATCATAAACTACTACCAATCACATATATGAAAGGTTGCTGCAAATCACCAATAATGAGAAATGCCAATTAAAACAACCTCAAACCCTGAAAACTGGCAAAGATGACAAAAGATGGGAATGGTCAATGTTGGGGGTGTACTACAAAAAACTACTACTACTACTAAGACAGGTACACTCCTGTGAAGTTGAGGGAACTGTGAAATGCTTGTTCACTTGACTATGAATTGGCCCAACCCTTCTGGAAAGTAATCTGGGATGCTGCTAAGCAAATATTCCAAGGAGGTCAGTGATAAAAACAAGAAAAGTCCCCATGCACATCAAAAAATCGACAGCAGCCCTTTCTGTGGTAGCAAAGAACTGGAAATCAATACCTGCCAACTGAGGAATGGCGGAACAAATGGACATAATGGAATATAATTGTGCTATAAGAAATGATGAATGTAGAAAAGTATAAGAAGACTTCTACAAACTGATGCAGAGTAAACCAAAGCCAAGAAAACAATACAGACAATGATACCACAACAGAAATGGAAAGAACAACAAAAAACAAAAAAAGGATGGAAAGCGGAAAACTAGCATGGCCAAGCCCGGCCCTAAAGGACTATGGGGGTAGAGTGCTATACATCATGCATGCATTTCTATGTGCTAGTTTTGCTGAACTTTTCTTTCCTCTCTTTTTCATTCTTTGTAATAAGGGATGGTTCTTGTAAGATTTGAGGTGTTTTTCACCATGTGAACTAGTTATTGGAAAGGTAAAATTTAAGTGGTTGTACTAAATTGTATTGAGTCTGATTACCAGTAGATTTTAGCAGAAACATCTAAGAATGTCTACAAGTAACCTGAACCAGAGAAGCAGATCTCCTAAGAGAAGCCCTTCCCTATAGAGCTGCTCTGAGAACAGGCCCATTTCAAAATGCCCAAGAGGAGATGTTTTCAGAAACCAGAAGACTGCATGA